GCGGAGAGCTACGGACGGTGGGGGGACGAGGCGGCTGCCCTTCTCAACCGTATGGCCCGGCACATGCGGCCACCTATCTATATGGAGGAGGGCGATGTGGAGTTTTTCCGCGAGACAGCAGTGGAGAGGTGGTGGGCTCGACTTAGTGTGCTGCTGCAGAAGGGCAACGCACACATGGTGCGGAGCAGAGCGTGGCGCGCAAGCAGGTGGAATGGGCAGGAGAGGGCGGCTTTTGCTGAGGGGCTGTTGCTAGAGCGGGGGCCTTTCCACTCTCGTTGATTGCAGGGGGTGGGTGGGTGGGCGTGCATGGGTAGGTAGCGAATGCTTTGATCGTTGCTGTCAATAGTTTAGATGCGAACATGTAATCGACCGTCCCAGCGCATGGACACACGGACAATCTTACCCTTAACCACCACCACCACGCTGTTGCAGGCAGAGGCAGAAACCAACGGCGAGAAAGGGCACTACGAAGCCGTCTCTTCGACTTCTGCCGCCTTCTCCATAGTGATCTGGCGTCTCTCCACCGCATTCCTTCACATCGTTCCAGCTCTCTCTGCTTTTGTGTCGTGTCTTCACAACATCGTCTGTCAGTCGCGGAAGTCGAGGTATTTGGGCAGCGTCACGTTGCGTTTCCGCGTCTGGTGTGTTGGTGAGATGCCGGCAATGGAGAGAGTGATGACGAGAGAACGTCGGGGGAGGTGTTGTTGACGTTAACGATCACACCACACGCACGGTCCGTACGAAACCAAACAGACACGCCTGCGCACCACACCACACATCCACACCACACACCGCACACCGCGCACACAACCAAACCAACCGTCCACACCCATGTACCCCAATATGTGTGTGTGTGATGGGTGAGGTGTGGTGGTGTGACGTACCCTATGCGAGCAGGGGCCACACGCAGCCCACGTGTGGGTTGGCCCACTCAAGTGACACGACACCCACCCTGATGTCACACCACACCACAACACAACACAGAGACATGAGCAGACAGCCAGGGTGCGTGTGGTGCACGAGTAAGTGTGATAGGTAGGTGGGATGACTGGTGTGGTGTGTACCAGTTGTCAGGTGGTTGGTCTGCGCTCCATCGCGGGACACGCCAGACAGCACTCGACACACGGGTTGGTTAGTTTGCATACACCAGCATGGAGGCAGCGAATACATGCCAAAACCGATACAGCAGTGGTAGGCAGCACACGTACCAGTCAGTCGTATGGTGGAAGTCCTCAGGAAGAGGCCATCGACCGACTGGGTTGACGTCAACACAGGTACGCTGAAAACAGGTGAACACAACATGATCCGAACAGATCTCCCCCGTCAGAGGGTAGGTGGTGATGGCATGTGTCCTCCCCCACCGCGCTAGGTAGGCCACAGTGCCTTGTTTGGATGTGAGAGTGTTGCTGGACACGACACACTGTGGCATAGAAAAACCAAGCATGACAAGGACGCAGGGTGACGAGTGTGTGCTCATGCTCACATACCAGTGAAGATGTGCCGGTCCGCGGTGACGATGTCCTCTCACGGATGTGAACTCCTACCTCTCGTGGTTGACGTGAGGTAGAGTGCACACATTCCGTAAAGGTCACCGTACGGGGCCCCGCAATCCATTCATGTTGGCCATCATGGGGGCGAGTCAGTCCATGCACACGCATTTCATCATACACGGATGGCATGCATGATTGGTTCATATATGTGGATGCATTGCTACTCGGACGGCCCTGGATGGGCAGCCATGCTGCCCATCGACATCCTAGCGCGAGCTTTGGCGAGCTTTTGCCAAAAACCCGTGGAAAAAGTTCCATCCATTTGGGGGTAGCTTTTCAGCACACCAGCAGCTCACAGCAGACCCCCCCACCTCAGGGGCATCCAGGACGAGCGAAAAAAACGGTGAAGACAGCAGCAAACAGCACCAGAAGCGGGGAACACACCAAGACAAACAGAGAGAGAACCAATGGGACACTCCAGAAGGCACGTAGAGGGCTTTTGCAAAAAACCCGTGGAAAAAGTTCCATCCATTTGGGGGAAGCTTTTCGGCACACCAGCAGCTCCCAGCAGACCCCCCCACCTCAGGGGCGTCCAGGACGAGCGAAAAAAACGGTGAAAACAGCAGCAAACAGCACCAGAAGCGGGGAACACACCAACACACCAAGACAAACAGAGAGAGAACCAAAGGGACACTGCAGAAGGCACGTAGAGGGCCACACACTAGCAAAGGAACCCATAGAGCACGCTTTGGGCACAACAGCGAAAGCAATAGCGAAAAGGCACCGAATTGAACGCACCAGAAGGAGACCGCCACTGTGACGTCTGCCCCTCAAAGCGCATGAAAAATGTTTCTTTGAAAACCCAATGCCATCTCAGTAGCCAAAACAAACAGCTTTGCAGGCGGAGGCAGAAGTCAAACGGCGCCACGAAGCCGTCTCCCAACCTCTTTCGCGCAAAAGATGATCTGGCGTCTCTCCACTGCATTCCATCACATCGTTGCTCTATCTGCTCTTCTGTCGTCTCTCCACAACATCGTCTCTCCACTACACATACAGGCTAGTGGGGATACGTGAGTGCCTCTAGATAGAGCGAGAACGTTGAGAGAGGTTTGCTTTGTATCATATACATTTTAGCGATATAGTCAGCGGGACAACAAGGCATGTTGATGTGGCTATGTTGAGTGGGTCAGCAAAGCATCGGTGCAGTGCAAAGGTGTTTGCTTTGTGCAGATCAGTTGTGAGGTAAAAGGGATAGGTCCTGAGCTGTTACAGTAAGAGTGCTTGCGTACTGTTTGTTAAAGCTGTACTGGAGCTAATCCGCCGCTCCTCGTCTTTGGTTGTGTCGCACCAGTAGCGGTGTGTTGTGTACCTGTGAGGCATTCATTATGTCGCCTTCACATCATGTCCTTTGCTGTCGCGTCCCTCCCTCTCTCCCTCCTTCCCTGTCTGTCTCCCGTGCCTCTCTGTTGCCACCCTGTCACGTTCGGTGCCTACCTTTTTTGTTTTTGGTATCGTCGCACGTGTCAAGTGGCGGGTCTCTTTTGCCACGCTTAGAAAAGAATACATTTGCGCTTGCCTCTGGTTATGACGGGGGAGGGGGAAGATTGACACAAACAGAAGCCCACGTGCGTGAAAAACCCTGAAAAGCATGAGTTGCCCTCATGCTTTTTCTCCTCGATCAAATGTTCTTTCATTGTTGGACCCCGGAGATCAGTGAGTCTGTGTATTTGTGGATGCGACTGCTTGCATTTTCAATCTCCATTTTCATATCACGCACACACACACACACACCTCTTCCGTTCACCAGACCATTCCACTGCATTCAATCTTTCACTCCTGCAAACTTCCATCCCCATTTATTGAAAAGGCCCCTTGTTTGCCCGCAACCGTTGAAGGGCTTTCGGGACGAAAGCGGTGTCGGTTGTCATCGGGCTCGTCTTTGCCGTCGTCAGCATGAGCCAGGCAGCGACAGAAGGCCGCAGCCCGGATGAGCGTCTCACCCACAGGGTTTTTCAGGATGTCGCAGAGTCAGATTTGGCCAACCTGCACCCTCCCGAACACGAAAGATTGCCGTTTCCACCCAAATGAGGCGTTGTACAGTGCGTCAAGCCCTGCAGCAACAACTGGTGAGACCGTCGAGACATGTCTGCTGAACTCTCATGCGAAACATCATGCCATGCCGTCGAAACGGCAAAGTTTTATCGATGCATCCAGCAAGAATGCCACAGACCCGCTCAATTTGATGTGCATGTGGCCGGCCATCTCGTGGCCAGCTATAGCTAGGCCAGGATCACGGCCGTCTTGTAGTGGTCGGGTGTCTGCCGCCTGGATGCTGTGACGAGTGGGTAGATGCATAGATCAACAGAACCAACGCAAAGCAATGGGAGGAGCGTGCCCCCGGCGAGCAAGCTGGCTGGCGAGTCCCGAATTTTCGTTCCTTCCCATCGTCTCTCAACTGGCGGTTCAGTTTCTCCAACCGTTTCGACGCTTGTGCTTAGACGAGCTTCTTCTCCCATTCATGTATCTACATAATCACGTGCGCTAACCTCTAACACCTGTGAATGCTGTAGGCACCTCTTCCTCCCAGAAATGACTCCCCCTACTGAGTGGAGCTTCATCCTTCCCCCCGTTTTCTCTTCATACTTCCTTTTGCTCAGCTCACATTCGGCTGTGTCTTCCCAGAAGAAGAATGTCCCGCACCCAGCGCTGGCCACACATGATTTGGCACAGTCATTGACGTCCGCCATGTCGACGATGATGCTATCCCGTTCTCGCTTCCGCATTCGCCGCACTCTCTGCTGTTTTGGTCTAGCCAGGTGCTTTCGCAGGCCGATGTCGGGCTGGTAGCAGCTGCAGGGGACTGGCTGGGCTGAAGGGGACGACACGGCCATCGGGACTGACAACGGCAATAGCAACAAGACTCAAGCAAGTCCACGACGTGTGTTCTGTCGTTGGCCCACCCTTGAGTGCCTTTGAGGGCCTGAGAAGCTCGCCACCACGTTTGACGGGCACCACTCGGACGTACAGGTCCGTAAACGTGGCATTGCTGTCGCCTGTAGGAGTGACGTTTTTGGCCGCCATCGAGTCGACGAGCTCCTGAAGTGTGATGATCTCTTCGAAAGCCGTCTTCGTTCGCTCGATGAGGGGCCGCTGGAGAGACACATCACTGTCATTGCCGACGTAAAGCCGCCACTTGCTGATCCCTGGTAGGCAGAGAGACAGGTCAAGTGCATACATTGGTCGGCGTCCCTACCTGTAACGCCATTGAATGAAAAGTGAATTGTCCAGTCCTGGAGCCCGACAGTTGATCGGGAACCCTCAACAGCTTGCATGTTGGCATCGCTGCAGAGAAGGAGCCTCGGTCGTTCTGTCGAGGAACCCTCCCAGTGGTGCAGCAATGGCTGATGCGCAGCAAGGCCTTCGAATTCGCGAACTATGCGGGGGCGATCCTCATGCGTCACTTCGGTGAAGAAAGGCCCTCCATTGCCCCATCCTATTAGCACGGTTTGGGGCCTGCCCCTGAGAAATGATCCGCCCACGTGACCTGGCAGATGGACCCTGATCCTCGTGTGCGTCTCACTTGCCGTTGTCGACAATTTGGATGCCACCGCAGCACATGCTGCTCAGCCTACCGACATAACACAGGGGCCGTTCTGTTTTGTCCCTTTCGCCCTCTGTACGTGCGGATCACTTGGATGGGTGAGTGAAGGACCACACTCGTGTGGCGGTCATCTTCTCTAGGTCCAACTTCAACTCGAGCACTCGTGAGGGTCTCATTCCGCCAATGTCCCACCGACGCCCGTTGTCATACCTGTGACAACAGCATATATTCGTCTGCACCAACACCGAGCCTACATGATGATGTTCCCATTCGCCATCTGTCGCGCATCGTGCTGGCCGAAGAAGGGAGGATCCATGTCCTCGCCGATGAAGGTGAAGTCACTACGTGAAAACAGAAAAGGACAGCCACACCGTGGAGCAACCATCAGCCCCCTGTAGTGAAGTACCTGGTCCGACCGCCCATGCGCCACAAGATTCTGCCTGTCTTGCCACTGATCAGCAAGACCAGGTTGCAGGTCCGCAGTGAGATGATCAAATTGCCTGCCGTCAGGCGAAATACAGTCTGGTCAACGATATGCGGTTTAACGATATGCGGTTTGCTGACCGCGCTCACCGTCCGGCGTCCGTTCGGCATTATTGATGTGATACACCTGGCATACGCACGCGGGGAAGCAGACATGTAGACACTATTATAATGAGCAACTGGCACGTACATCTCCATTATCCGGCTCCCCCGGCAAGATGGGATCGGCATCGTCAATGAAATCATCGATGCTGCGCCACTCCAGGAGCACATCCGTGCTGGCGTCTAACACATGCACCACTGAAACAAGGGGAAGAACATGTGCACACAGGGCACACATACAGCCCCACTGCCTTCTTGCTTGCTGTCTGACCGTTGTGCAGGACGCCATTGACTTTGGTCTTGCCTGTCAGGATCGTGTTGCCCTCCTCATGAAAGAATGCGTTATGATAGTCTAAAGGGTAGCCGTGACCCATTTGGTGTCTGGTCAAATCTTGCATTGAAAAGAAGAATGCTGTTGTTGCTCTAGTGATTTCTTCACCTGTCGACCATCTGGTATGTGGAGTTCACTTCGTACACAGCCATGGCACCATCATTCGGCCTCTGGTCCCATAGCGCCAAACGTCCATTTTGCATGTGTCGCGCGGGTGTCCTCAGTGCACGTGCATATCCATCTCCCTCATCACTGACCTCACCTGCTTGGTGCCAGGAGTGCCCATCTGAGTCTGGCGATGCCATTGTGCGGCCTGGGAGGGTTGCTGGGAGGTGCGCTGGATGGGTGTCACAGTGACAAGGATACGGACCGGATGGCGGGAGGCGTCGTTGCAGTCATCGACTCCTCTTGCCACTACGTGGCGCTATCAAAAGTGACTGCCTGCGTGAAGAGCTGGCGAAGCTCAGCAAGCTGCATGAAGGAGCATGCGATCCATGATGATCGTTACTGTACTACGGGAGCGTTACGATGTTGGCCGTAAAGTTTAACAGGCGCAATGACCCGGGACAAGGCATTCTCACACTGTCTGTCCTTTACTTTTTGGACCCTGACATATGGTAGGCAATGCCCATTTCCATCCAGTCTCTGTCATGGGGTTGCGTCGTAGGAAACATGGCCTTGCCTGGTTCCTCTCCGTCTCCGCCTCCCGTGTATCTTCGAGAAGCGGCCAGTCCTGGAGAGGTCCCTGATGCTATCAAGGGTTTTCACCTGTGCGCTACAGACGTGGCAATCCCCAGCACCTCGAATCTTGAAGATGGTCCGGTGGTTCGGCTACGAGGTGAGAGAGTTCCTGTTGGTGCCTGGCGTCTTTCTGTCCTACCCTGCGGTGTGCAACGAGGGATATGGACCAAACATGACCACGTGACGCCTAAAATGAAGGATTCCGGTGCCGGTCACACGAGTCCTGAGACGGACCCTCCTTGCGAGCCAGCGGTGGACATTATGTATAAGGTAGATGTTGACCGTTTGTCTTAGACAGAATCGGGAGTTCTCGTTTCTTTCTGTGACAGGGCACGACGTATGTGCTGTGCCGTGGACTGGCGCGGACGGCGCTCTTCGATCCGTCTACATCATCATGGCTGCAGAAATCCATGCGTCCCCCCTCACCAGTTCCAGAGCCGCCCTACATCGCATCCCTCTTTGACGGAGAAATCTATCTGTTCAGCGGTCGCACCAGCGATGCCACTAGTGGAAATGATCCTGCCGATGTAACCATCTATGAAGTTGACAATAACAGGTGGAGATCGGGACCTGCTGCGAAGCTCGTCCGTGCGCCTCATGTGGCAGCGGCCATTGATGATTACCTGATCCTCGTCGGAAGCACCTACGAAGGGGGCTTACCGACAACAGTAGTGGTCGAGCTCCTCCCATCGCGCTTCCTTTGCGAGAGACGGAAAACCAAGGCGGAAAGAATGCTCCAAGAACTAAGAGGCCTGCCATGGATCGCTGTTGATGGTGACAAAGAGCACTTCTCATACTTCCTCAATCAAGTTGCGGAGCGGCCGTGTGCTGCGGCGGCAAGCGACGACGGCCCTTCTGGGAATGGAGCAAACGACACACGAGAGTGGAGCAAGGGCCCCCTCCCACCAGCAGAAATCTCTCTAACCGGTCCGGTTTGAGGGCGACATACATGGCTGCCGCCCATATGCTTGCTGTTGTGTCTCAGATGTTCCCCCTGGCACATACTTCACCGGAACAGATGGGTCTCTGCGGGTGTACCGTCCAAATCTGTCAACACGTATATCCGACGTCAGCAAGGGTAATTCCCGAATAGACGAGACACGGTGCATTTATGTTGCGTTTGTACGTGTAGGTAGCAGACGGCAGTACAAGCCCGAATGGCCTTCCATCGCCTTATCTATCTCTTCAGCCTCAGCACCTTTACATGCCACAGAGCCCTACCCGACGTTCTACCTATCCCCACATTTATCTGAGGTGACCTTCCTGTTAACCAACGAGAATGCAGATCGCCCGTCGGGTCGACTTTACCCGATCTTGGAGGGAGACGCATCCGCATTCGCTGTCACGCTCCCAAACAAAGAGAGGCATCTCATCGAAGGGATTCAACCAAAAGAAAATGTCACTGTGACAGTGAAATGGCGTGGAGATCAGTCGATTGACGACCTTCCACATGTTGGCTTTCTCCGCATTCGGAGAGATGTAGGCATTGCACTTGTGCTTTCTCGTCAGCACGCGCTCCTTGGAGCACAAATCCCCTGAGTGTGCAGGTGTGGGTTCTATTCGTGGCCGACAGTAGGACTCCTTCCCACCAGCAGTCGGCACCAGCAGATGAGAATGCCATCGACCGCATCGTCGCCGTTGGAAGCAGGAGTGGTGCAATCGAGGCAAGCCGGGGAACATCTGCCTGGGAAAATGTCAAAATAAGGAGTTGGCTTTCTTGTTGGCCATGTTGCAGCTGTCTGGTAGGAACTTGAGCGCAGCGCTTTCGCGAGGCACATCTTACGGGGATACGTCGACATCCATGGACTTCTCGTTCATCCTCGATGAAGCGGGACCCTTTAGAGGCACGACAGTTGCCGCTATCGTGGGACGAGAGTTCCCTCCTCTCTTCGTTGCAACGAAGAGAGGAGCGTTTCTGCATGCAGAGCTCAAATCGGATGTATTAGCAGTCGACTATGATGGAGACGGCCACGAATCTATCTTTTTTGACGTGAGCCAGCAATTTGAGCAGACACCTTCGGGCCGATCCGGGACGAGTTACCAGGCCAGCAGTGTGCATATGTTCGGTATCCAATGGCAAATCTGCAGGCATCGGCATCTCACACACATGAGTGGGGACAATCTCTGGTCAGCTACAGTTTCCAACTCAACGGCCAAACCATCAAGGAATCAGTAAGGATGATTGGACTTGCAGAGTCCGAGTCCGACGTTGTTCTTATCTTTCTGCTCTGTGTCGCACATCGGCATGCCTTTGCCAGACTTGTGAGGAACATGAGAGTAATTGCGAGCGGACTGCGCGACCGCGCATCCCCATCGGCACGCACAATTTCGAGGTGACTGTCGGCGACAGAAATGGACAAACCGCTTCGTTGGAGAAGGAAGTCCTGGTAGCATCTGTGGATGAGGTCCCCGGTTGCGCATTGGCCATCTACAATCTCTCGTTCCCCCAAGCGCGCAAGTCCTGGTTGGAATGGACGGCCAACAGTGAGACTTTATCTGGTGCCTTCAGCCTCACGGACGGTGGTGAAACACTGGTACCCAGCTGGGTTACATCCAGTGCTGTCGCACTGGCTGAAAGTGGAAGCATCAAGCAGGGACAGTCGCCGTTCGAGGTGTGCGGAGTGGCTCCGGACACACAGTATGAAAGCTTCATGGACTGGACACTCAAGGAGAACCTCCTCATCAGAGCACTGGTATGCATGGCTGGTGATGGCGCCAATTAACTGCCTCCATGCACTGTCTGCTCTGCTTCTCTGTCTCTGGGTGCTTCTGCTCAAAGGCGATTTTTGAGCTTGACGACAACGATGGGCCTCCTCCCAGCATAAGGGTGAAAGGCGGTGAAAAAGCTGCTGTATGGGTAGACGGCACCAGATACATGTTCTTCGACGCTGACAACGACAGGAAATTCATTACCATCCCAATGAGCAAGAATTCAAGACCAAATGTAGAGGTCCGGTGGCTTATTGAAGAAGCCACAACATTTCCCCTCAAAGTTGACGTGCGCACCAAGGGCCGCAGGTGGCAGTGGAAACACAGCCAGCGATCATGGCTGCCGTAAGACAGGCACACCGTCCACGGCTTCCCAAAGAGCATGCGCATCCGTTCTCAGGTTCATCAACAAGATTGACCCTGACCGCGTACATCCCGATGGAGGGACAATTTCTCTAGATGGAGTCGGATTTTTGGCGCCACAAGGAAGGAGTCAGAAAGAGGCGGTATAGGGGTCTCCTGCAGGTGTGCCCTCTTATCGCTCTAGACAAGGGAAAAGGGCATCCTTCATTTAAATGAGAAGGTCTTCCGTCGGATGGATGTGCCGAAAGGGGATTCAGGCGATTCGCCAGGCATTATAAGCTGGAATGGAATGCGAATTGAACTCAGAACACCATCTGTATGTCAGCCCGTCCCACCATGTTTTCTCTTTCTCCAACTGTTGGATATGTGTTTGATGCTAGCTTCATGAGGGCAGCGTGAGCCAGATTAAAGTGAGCATCGATGGAGATTCCGAGTCAAATGCGAAACGCATCATGCATACGGCAAAAGCTGGCGGCAGCTTAGAGGGGATCGCCTTCCAGAAGATGAAGGAGGTTCTCAACGTCGTCGAGCGACTCGGAGGAGGGCATCGTCAGGGAGGTGAAGGGAAGCCGAAGGGAAGCCGAAGGGGAAGAGGATAGATGTGGCCCCGCAAGTACTGCAAGGCGGGTCTATTTCAACTGGAGTCTGGGCGCAAGACGGAAAGACACTGTTTATGGGAACAGTGAATGGGCAAGTGTTGAGCGTAGCCTTCAAGAGTAATGACGAGGTGGACAAGAGCTCATTCCAGGCTTACGATGCGATCAAAAAGAAGTATCCCGATGATAGTATTGCCGGCATCCAATGTGCGATAAGACATTCCATACAACGCACAGGACACACGCACTGTCTCTCTTCTTATTTGTGTTGCTCAGTCGACCCCACGCAAGACCCTGAGGATCCGCACCTTTACGTTGCGCATGCTCCTTTCTTCTATTGGTGGAAGCAGGGGTATCCCTGTTTCAATGAAAGCCTATGTTACGTGCCTTTTCCGGCACGGATTTCTCGCCTGTCCGGGCCGGGCTTCTCACAAGAGACGACACTTCTCGAAAATTTGCCTTAGTCGAACTGCGACCACAGCGTCAATGGGCTACACTTCGATAACGACGGCAACCTTTATGCAAATATGGGGAGCATGACGAACGCCGGCTGGCCTGGTAGGTCACCGTCATGATAGTCACTGCGGCATTATTCTACTGTCTACGTCGTGTCTCGCTCAACTTAGGCTGCACTCTTGGCGGCTTGCCAGAATCTCCTCTCACTGGGTCACTCATGAAGGCAGGCAAATTGAAAATGATCAGGAACTAGCATCACTCTCCGCTGCGCGTCATTTCTCTCGCTGACGGCGCCTCTGCTCCTGTGCTTGCGTTCGTGCGTAGGTAGAGGTACGCAACCCGAAACTGACCAAGCGAATCAAGTATAAGTATTACAAGACAGGTGAACTCGTTGAAAAGCCCAACCAGGTACGTTGCAAAAGGAAGAAGATGCCCGGAAGCCTGAGGCACGCACTCTGTCGTCTCTGGGCTGCAACAGCTAGAAGGCGACCGCTATGCCCTTGCGGACTCGGTGGTTGGCATCTCGATCTGGTCATCAGGTTTGAGGAATAACTACGACAGTGTCTTCACCACAAATGGTGGAACCAGAGACTGCCTGACACACGGAAAAATGCTGTCTGTCCGTCTGTCCGTCTGTCTGAATAACTTGTGCAGAGGAAACCTACATTATCATGAATGGTACACTCCGCAACGAATGCTTTGCGTTAGACCTAACAACGGACTTTTCAGGTCCGAATCTTGGGTCTGGTGTGCCGGTTACTGGACCTCCACAAGCGAGAGGATGCACACCACAGGATTTCGACACATGGGACGAGTGCAGGCTGGACTCGAGAGTGAAGAGCGAGACCGCCGTGAATCCGGTCTTTATGCCGAAGCCTTGGCCAGTTTCTGAAGACGAAATGAGCAAGAACTGCCAGCCTACTCTTTCCACGCCCATATTTTCTCCCGACCGCATTTTTCGTTCCTTCGAGGGAGCTTACCATGGGCACCCGAATCCTGCTCGAGCCCGCAACTTGAACGACACCAGACAATGGTACCTATAGCAATGCAGGTCCATCTTTTTATGTCCATTGTACTTGGTGCATTCTCGAGGTATCACGGTGTGTATATGGAAGCTGGCGTGAACTTCACGGAGGGCTGGGCAATCCCATCATCCACAACGGGGGTTACCGAGTTCAGGGGCGATTGCTTCGGCGGAAGGCTCCGCGGGGACCTTCTTGTGGCGAAATGGGACACAAATATATTCCTCGTCGACTTGCCCGATGAAAACAATGAAGAGCTGTTGGTCACGTTAGTAATACTCGAGTGACTGCACAGCATCTCGTGCCACCTGTGTCTGGTTGGTGTGTGTGTATGTGCAGCGACCTAATGGACGTGGAGAACTACCTTGATATCCAATACGCCCCGGGGTGCAACATCATAATGATGGGATACAAGTACGGCGACGTTGGTGTCATTTCGCCGAGCAACGAAGCATTGACGGAATTTGAAAGGGAAAACGGAAGTTTGCCCGAGATATACGATATTTCCCCGTGGCGAGGCCCTGCGAAGTACGGAAAGCCCTTTGTAATCGGAGGCCGCCGCTTCACAAATGGGAAGCGAAGAAAGCCAGTCGAGGTGCGAATAGGGGGAGTGAAGGCCGAGGTGAAGAACTATGGCGACGCCCGTATCGAAGGCATCATTCCTGCCCAAGCCGCACAGAGCGAGGTCCATACTTCTGCCGGCCTTGTAGATGTCGTGGTGCACTTTTCAGACGACACCTTAGACATCCTCAGAAAAGCCTTTCTGTTCCTGAAGTCATCACACTGAAGTCTTCACACTGAAGTCTTCACACTGAAGACAGCCCTGGTGGCAGCAACCAAATCGGCCGAAGTGTCCAGCACGATGTGCCCGCATTCCGCACACTGTCGAACGGAGAAAAGCCGCTCAAAGGAAAATAAAAAGGACAAAACAAAACAGGCACCTCACAGCCCCGCTCTAGGGCTGCGAGGTGGCTGTCTGGGATCTGGATATTGTGAATGTGTGTATCGTGTTGCATGTCTCATGCTTGTTTGCAGTGTGTGACATGTGTTCGTTCGCAACAACGAGCGTTGTCGATTGTCTTTGCAAGTATTGCTCCCCTTTGCTTGCTTGGTATGGACTGATGCTTAGACCACCTTCGTCGCCCGTTCATGTGTCTACCTGATAAGCTAGAAAAGCAAAAGCTAGGCGATTCTCTGGGGTCCCAGGGTTATTTGCCTTTCTGGATTCTCGGGGATGTATGAGTTTTCGGTTGTCGGTTGTCCGCGGAAGAAGAAAGATGAGAGAGGAAAAACCCGCCTCATTCGCCTTGCCCATTCACGAAGGGCTTTACATTCCCCAGATCTTAAAGGGCAGACAAAGGCGCCGGACTTGGAAGCCCAGGCTGCTAGTGTGCGTGCCAGTGTGCCGGGGTCATGTCCATGGGGTCTGTCTTCGATACTCAGCACAATGACAGGAGGTGTCTGATGAGATGGCATGGCTCAGATGTCAAATGGTGCATCCTTTTCGTACGATAGAAGCCAGGTTCGATAGCTAAGAAGAGCCTGGATCAGCCCAGAGCCATGACTTTGGAACAACCGATGTCGTGCCATCACTGAAGTGGACAGCCACATCCACAAGCTCCTCTCCGTGAGCAGGGCTCTCCACAGCGGGAATCACACCCTCGATACGTGTATCCTGCATGCGCAGACGCCCAGGGCATGAAGTAGACAAGCCTGCTTTGATGCATACGGTTTGCGACGCGATAGCACAGTCGACGCCGTCGATGACGAATTTGGTGGCCCTGCGGGGCTCAGAGGGCTTTGTCTCGCCCTCTCCATTCATGTTATAGCCACCTGGACTTACACTCCCTGCCTCCTTTTCCTCCTTTCCTCCCTCCCTCGTGCTTACCGATGATCACCTTGTGCTCGAATCGGTGACTGCCTCTCCACGGGGTGACGTCTGGGAGGACATGCACAGTGGTTGAGGCCAGCAACATGACATTGTCTGTTTGGTCGCCTCACCGAATGCCGTGGGTCCCGAATTCGATTTGGCGTCCTCGTCGTCGGCCATGATATGTCTAATTTGGTCATTCGAGTAATCCAAGGTAAGGATACTGCAGCCGGGACCGTAGACCACCTAAACCATCCACACACTTGCTGCTATTCTTCTTTCTCTGTGTGTCAGTGTTGACCTCAAGTCCGGTGACTTCGCCTCCTTCGAGATGGGAAATGTACACGTCCTCCCCCTCCTCCTCGTCCAGATAGGGAATGTCAACCCGCCAGATCCAGCCGTTCCACTTGGCGCCCAGCAAGTCGCCACGCATGGCTCCGGCAAAGCAGTTGCCTAAGCACAAGGGCAGCATGCATGGAATCATGCAGTGCCGATCTGTTAGCCCGCAGATAGATAACCTCGGCTATAGCCTAACTACCCTGTATGTGTAGTGGAGAGACGATGTTGTGGAGAGACGACACAAGAGCAGAGAGAGCTGCAACGATGTGATGGAATGCAGTGGAGAGACGCCAGATCACTATGGAGAGGATGGTAGAGACGCAATGGAGAGCGGGGGGAACCTTGGGGAGACGGCTTCGTGGTGCCCTTTCTCGCCGTTGCTTGCTCTGCCTCCGCCTGCAACAGCTATTTGTTTGGCTACTGAGATGGCATTGGGTGCTCAGCGAAACACTTTTCATACGTGATGGATTGCTTGCAACAGGTCCAGGTGATGGGGTGGGTTCGTGCTCGTCTGTCTGTTGCGTTGGCGCGTAGTGCAAGTATGTGTGTGCGTGGTGGGCGGCGCCGCTGGAAGATACGCCAGGCGGGCGCTGAGGATGGTGCTGGCATGTTTGTCGCATGATTGAGGGTTGGTCGATGTTGACGCAGTTCGTTTCATGAGAGACCGACAGACGCTGCCTGCCGTTGCGCTATGAGTTAATGTATGTCATCACTTGCAACACACATTTTTTATGCGCTTTGAGGGGCAGATGTGTGGCGGTGTCTTTCTGCGTTCGTTTTTCGCCGTCTCTTTTGCCCTTCTTGCGCCAAGCGTGGTATGGGTTTCCTTTGCTAGTGTGTGACCCTCCTACGTGCCTTCTGCAGTGTCGCTTTCCCTAGGGAAAGCAACGGCGGGCGAGATAGTTTCTGTGCGGGCAGATAAGCTACCCATCGTATGGCATGGCATGTCTGGCTGCCCTCTGGGCGATGTGACTCTTTCCGCGGGAAATGGGGAGTATCGCTATGATGATGTTGCGTCCTTGCCTGCGGTGCCATACATGTATGTTCCGAAGAGTCAGGAGGAGACTTTTTTCATTGCTGAGTTCTCCAATTCACTTGATGACTATAGAAAGCACTAAGGGGCTGTTTGTCTATGTGTAAACTGATACCTGCGTGGGTGGGTGGGTGG